TTTTTGCTCCATATTTTTCAAGGAATTGATTTAGCTAGGTCTCACCATCATATGGGAGATATTTTCCCATGTACATTTGCATTAGGGGCTGGGCAAAATTAACTAAATTGAACTAAACTATTAATTAACTGAATTATATTAAACTAAAAAATTAAAACTATTTAAGATAAAACTGAATTAAACTATTTTCTAGTTCAGTTTTAAAAAACTGAACTTATTAAGTTGCAGTTCGGTTCACTGTAATTAACTAAAAATAAAAAACAAAATCATACATTTCAATTTGTAAATGCCCACTTGCCCAGGGTTTCTAAATCAGAAATCGCAACTCGCATTTTGCAAGGCTCTTCACTCACCAGCCACGGCACGGGTTCTTGATTCACTACTCCTTCCTCACTCACCAACCATGGATTCTTGATACAATTTGTAAACTATTTTAGTTTAGTGCAATACAGTTTAATAGAATAAAAAACAGTTCAGTTCAGGTTTAGTGATCTAATTTTCAGTTTAGTTCAATTTAATTGAACTATTTTTCAGTTTAATACAGTTTTTAATAGTTCAGTTTAGTGCAATTTAATTTGCCCACCCCTAATTTGCATATTGAACCATGTGGTTTTGAGCCCTCTGTAAATGAAATTTTGATTGCTTCAAAGTTTTATCTGTGTCCATTGAATCACGACTTCTACCAAGGTTTCTCCTGGCACAAATTTGACCTAAGAAGGTAGAGGCCTCCCATAAACAACCTCAAAGGTTGTGCAATGTACAACACTTTGAAACTGGTATTATACCAATATTCTGTCCATGGAATAAAGTTTTCCCAACACTTTGGTTGTTCTGAATTGAAACATGATGATAGGTCTCCAAGGTTCTATTTAGGACTTTTGTTTGACCATTTGATTCAGGACGATAGGTTGCACTCGTTTTTTAGGTTGTACCCTACAATTTGAAAATTTTGTTCCATAAATGACTAATGAAAGTAGGATCTCTATCACTAACAATGGAAATGGGTGCTCCATGCAGTTGTATAATTTCTCTAACAAAAACCTCAACTATAGATCTAGCAAAATATAGGTGTTTAATCAAAATAAAATGCCTATATTTGCGTAACCTATCCACAACAACTAGCACCATGTCAAATCCTCTTGATTTTGGGAGTCCCCGTAATAAAATCCAACAAGTTGGACCAATTTATTAGGAATCTCTGCTTGAAAAAGGAAAAGAAGAACAAGATCCTAACCAAGACCAGGACACCCACACAATAAGGTTGAAAAATTGAATGACTTATGTATTGATTATGAACAAAATTCTTACAAGAACCAAGATATACAAGTATACACCCTAAAGGAGCATTCTCCTTTACACACCGGAAACTTCTAGATATACAAATTTTACAAAAAGTCCCTCAACTAAACAATAGAGGTCTTATTCAAAGAATTTACAACATAGTAATTAGTAACAAATTTAACTAACACTTTTGACCCAGTCAGCTAACATTTACAATATGACCTTTTTTTCTTTATATAATAAACTTGAAGAGGTTTTTGCTTTTCACTAAAATCATTCCTAATGGTGAGACTTTTAGGTTTTGTGACTTTTAGTTTCTATAGATAGAGATATATGTTGTCAATTTTTCTAATTCTAGGAATCTTAAATTTGAAGAACAGAATAGAGATACAGGAACCTCATGTATAAGAAGAGCTTCGAGAATGTTTATTGACTTGAGAGAAGAATTACAAGAATTTCGGTCTTAGGCTGAATGAATCATGTCCCAGCCTAAACCATCCCTTAGCTATTTATAACTATTTGTTTCTAATTGCTCTTAAAAACCCTCCACAAAAAGAGAGGTTCTAACTAACTAACAGTCGGTTACTCATTGCTAGCAATTAACATGTGTCCTTCACCTACACATTTATTTCATAACAATGGCCCCTCCTTAACATCATCCTTGTCCTCAAGGATGGAACAAGGGATATTTCTTCTTGTCAAGTATGTACTCAGGTTCCTTTTCAGCAAACGCATCTTCTTGTTGATAAGATAGAGCAGTAGTACTCACAACTTCTCCCACATGCTTCTTAAGTTGAGAAACATGAAACACAGGATGAACTTTACTGGTAGAAGGTATATCCAACTTGTAAGCTACTTGACCCACACGATCAATCACGTTGTAAGGACCAAAATACTTAGGACTGAGTTTTGCATTCTTCTTGAATGCTACTAAAACTTTCTTATAAGGATGTAGTTTAACATATACAAAATCACCAATCTGGAATTGTCTAGCTATTTGCTCTATTCTTATCAGCCATCTATTTCATTCTTTCTTGAGCTCTCTTCAAATGAAATCTAATCAATTTCAACATTTCCTCCCTCTTAGCTAAACTCTTTTCCACAAGTTTGATATTAGACTCTCTAGGTAAATAAGGTAAATTGATTGGGGCAGGTTGGCCAAACGTGATCCCATATGGAGTAGCCTTAGTAGCCATATGGTAAGTGGTACTATACCACCATTCCACTAATGGGAGCCATTTAGACCAATTGTGAGGGGTATCAGAAAACATGCACCTAAGGTAAGTGCCTAAGCACTTGTTAACCACTTCAGTTTGCCCATCAGTTTGAGGATGGTAATTGGTGGACAACTGAATCTGAACTCCTTGAAAAGCCATGAAATCCTGCCAAAAATGATTGATGAACACCGGATCCCTATCACTGGTTATGGTTTCTGGGAAACCATGCAATTTATATACATTGTCCGTAAATGACTGAGCAACTTCACTTGCTGTATAGGGATGAGTCAAAGCCATAAGATGAGTAGCTTTACTCAACCTATCCACCACCAAAAAAATCACTTGCTTGCCGAATGAAGTAGATAGCCCTTCCAAAAAATCCATAGTTATATGCTGCCAGATGTGATCAGGTATGGGAAGAGGTTGCAACAAATCAGGATAAGCATTAGTATCATATTTACACTATTGACAGATTGCGCATTAATGTTGGATAAACTTGGATACATCCTTAATTAGCCCTTTCCAGTAAACTACAACCTTGACTCTTTTCATGGTAGCACTAACTCTTGAGTGCCCACTTCCAACTGATGCATGTAACCACTACAACAACTCTTTTCTCAATTTTGGATCATTTCCCACCAGAATCTTCCCTTTTCTTCTTATTTCCTCCTACTGCCACTGGTAGTGTTTGTGTGAATTTGGCTTCTCCTGAACTTCTATGATCAACTTATGCAATTGTGCATCATTAGTCCAAGACTGATGGATTCTATCAACCAAATTAGATTGCAACTACAGAGTAATCAAGGTGTTACACTCCACTGCCTCTCTCCTTGATAGTGCATTTGCTACTAATTTTTCGTACCCCTTCTTGTATTCAATTGAAAAGTCAAACTCCATAAGTTTGATTAACCTTTTTTGCTAAAAGTTAGTATTTAACCTTTGATCTAATAAGTATTTGAGACTGTAATGATCAGTCTTGATCGCAAAGTGCCTATTCAATAGATAATGTCTCCATTTTTGTACAAAAAATACAACTGTCAGCAATTCCTTCTCGTAAGTAGATAAGCATTGTTGTTGGAGGTTGAGGATCCTACTAATATAGGCTATCGAATGATGATCCTTTATAAGAACTACACCAATTCCCCCTCCTAAAGCATTCATTTCTACTACAAACATCTTAGAAAAATATGGTAGGGCTAGCACAGGAGCACAACTGAGCAATTCCTTCAATTTTTGAAATGCCAACTCAGTAACTGTTGACCAAATGAATCCATCCTTCTTTAACATATCAGTTAAAGGTTTTGCCATAATACCATACCCATTCACAAATCTCCAATAATATCTTGCCAAGCCAAGGAACCCTCAAAGTTGTTTAATGGTTTTAGGAAGAGGCCAATTGACCATTGCTTCGATCTTGTTAGAGTTAGTGGAAACTCCTAAACTAGAAATGAAATGACCCAAAAACTCTACCTTGGACACCATAAAATAACACTTCTTCTAGAAAAAAGGTAATTCTCCCTGAGAGTGATTAACACCTGTCTCAAATGATCCAAGTGCTCTTCCAAATTTCTATTGTACACCAAAATATTGTCTAAGAAAACCAACAGAAATTGCCCTAGGAATTTCTAAAATACGGTGTTCATTAATCCTTGGAAAGTTGCAGGCGTATTAATGAGGCCAAATGGCATCACTACATACTCATAGTGGCTAGCATGAGTCTTGAAAGTTGTTTTATGCACATCAAGTGGATCCATCCTCACTTGATTGTTGCCTGATCTTAAATCTATTTTGGAAAATATTGAAGAACCATGTAATTCATCTAATAGATCATCCACCAAGGGAATCGGGAACTTATTCTTCACAGTGTTTTTATTTAACTCCCTATAATCCACACATAGTCTCCATGTCCCATCCTTATTTCCCACCAATACTACCGAACTGGCATATGGGCTAATACTAATCTGAATCACTCCTGATTTCAAATATTCTTGCACCAATTTGTCAATGGTGTCCTTTTTCTATTTTGCATATCTATATGGTCTTTTATTAACTGGATTAGCACCTTGAATTAGTGGTATCTTATGATCAGTCCCTCCCTAAATGGAGGCAATTGACTTGGCTCTTGAAATAGTTCCTCAAATTCCACCAGAATTTGTTCCACTGCAGGTGGTACATGTGGCTAGTCAGCATGAGTTGTAAGTGACTGTAACAAACCCCCTCCCTCCTCACAAAACTGAATCATAGAAATATGTACTCCTGAAGACAATGCATTTTCTAGTTGTTGTTTCTTAGCAGTTTTAATAGTGTTTGATGATGCACCACGAAGGACATGCTTTTTCCCTTTCACCTTGAATTCCATAGTCAATTTGTCAAAGTTCCGCACAATATCACCCAGAGTCATTAACCACTTTATTCCCAATACTAGATCACAAAAACCTAGAGGAATCGAAAATAGATCAGAAGTGAAAGTCGTCTATTGAATAGACCAGGTAAACCCCTTTACCACCAATGACACAGTTAGCTTGGAACCATCCGCAACTATTATCTGTATCGAATCCACTACTGTAATCCTACAACCCACTTCTGAGCAACCCTAATGTCTAAGAAGTTGTGAGTAGAACCATTATCTATCAGGATGTGTAATGGTATCTTTTGCTAGAATATAGTAACCCTTATTGTTTTGGAAGCTTGTAACACCAGTTAATGCATTGACTGAAATTTGTAGTGTCTCCTATGAAGATTCTTCAAGTACATTTCCTTCCTTGTTTTCTATATCTTGACCTTCTGCCTCTTCCTCCTCCTCAACTTCTAACACATGTATCTGGATCTTTTTGTGACTTAAACTATGCTCCTGAGAATAAGGCTCATCACAGAAATAACAAAGGCCCTTAGCCCTTTGCTCACTCATATAAGCAGGGGTTAAATTCCTGTTAGCTTTCACCTTAGGTGTAGAAGAAGAACTGGAGTAGGGACGTGACACCGAATGATTGAAAACTTTAGTAGGTTTAGAACTTATGGAAAAATTGTTGAGAAACCGGATTGATGTTGATTCCTCTTCAAGCTTCTCCCTAGATCTTTGCCTCCTTGATTCTTCTCAAGCTTCTCCAAGGCTTCCAATGGAAGGAGAAGCCTTGGAATCACCACGGTTGGTGAAGAACACCCTTCAAGAGGCGCCACTCCTTGGAAGGAAGATAAGCCCCTTCACTCCTCATCACACTCTTCTATGAAAAGGATAAGAGAATTGGATGAAGATCAAACGCCTCTCTATTTCTGTTAGGAACAGTTATGGACTATACTCAATGGGTTCTACATTGAATTGGACCAGCACCAGGTCCTTAAGTTGAGGATTTGGATTGGGCCTAACTCAGCCCCAAAGTTAGCTTGTAAGATGATCATTGTTCGAGCCCTTATAAGCTCCAATTTGGCCATACAGTATCTAAGTTCAATGTGGGATCTCAACAACTACATTAATATACCTTATCAGTTATGACCATCTGGTGCCACTTCTGATTACCAACGGTCAGAAATGAGAAAGTCAAGTGTCTACGTAAGAGGTTGTTTATTGACAATGAAGAAGCCTTCTATTTCCAAAGCAATAGTGTATACTACAGTAATTCAAATTTACATCTCAACAATAGATTAAAATCCTAAATCATATACAAGTAGAAATGGGAGGTCGGTTATTTCATTTTCACTGGAAAGTTATCACTCACTATGGAATTTCAATTTTGAATTTTTGATTATCAGGTTTTTGAAGAAATTGTTGTTTCATTGTATTTAACAATGTTCTTGGCTCTAGATCACTGAAGTATAGATATCAATAGCCAATAGGGTATACCATAGAAATTCCATTTAAAGTCAAGAAAAATATCATTGCAGAAAATAAGCATATATTACGATTTGATCAATCTCCCAACCATCAAGTTGCAGTGAAGGCCATAAGTCAAGCATCAGATGAGCAGCTGTTCCACCACCCTGAAGGATTTAAAAGCAGTATGATATTACTAATAAGATCACTGACAATATAGAAATTCCATCGTGTGAATTCCCCGAGACAACATGTGCCATCTTAAAATTAAATGAATTACCAAACCTAAGATAGCAATGGGACCTTCTGGAACAATAGCTGGCAAGCTGGCAAATTCATCCTGTTTAATGCAACAAGTTTAGAAACCCCTGGCATGAACAATTGATCTAATAATGTGCATATAAATACAAAAGTACCATGCAGTTAAATAAGATACAAGAAATGAAGTTAAGAATGATGTAACTTATGTATCTGTGTTCACCTTAATGCTCAAAGAATATGACAACCAAAGATAAAAAGAATGTACCTGCTTTTTTGAAGATAAACTTTTATATTCAAATTTCTAACATTAAATCAAAAGGCTAAAGGGATAGCAAAAGTAAGCTTCTCATTTCAAACTTTCAAGTGCAACTCCTATGAGAAGCTTCTTTACAGTAATTTATAACCCATATTTTCAGAAGATATGGATTTTAAGATCTTCAAAATAAAATGGAAATGATTCTAACCTTTGCAATTAATTTAAGCACAGTAGCACCCCAAATAGAAGTTTTTCATTAGCTCTTGAGTAATTATACATGTTATTGTATCTATATTTTATTAGTTTTACTACTAGTGTGTATAGTTTGGTGGTAGAAAACCATGGTGGTACAAAATCATGGTGAGTTCACCACAAAAGAACTACTTGTTTCTTCCAAAAATTATGGTGAGTTTAACTCACTACTAATCCAAACACATACGTAGTTTCACAGACATACATAGTTTAATTCGGTACATATATTGGCTATATTGCATGGCTTTATTCACAAGCATGGAACAAATAGCATTTTATTTAACAGTACAGGATTGGATGAAGATCTGATGGTGCTAGTTCAGCTTGTGAAATGCTTTGATTTCATTCAAGATACGTTTCATTAGACCATGAATACAAGATCAGAGGCAATGATTGTGTTTCAATACTGATTTAGCATAGCAAATTGCATCACCAGTTTCACCCATCAAACAACACAATTTATGAAAGACAACTTTCACTGTTAAAAAGCGTGATTGAATTGGCCCAGAAACCATTTTAACACGATCTCGACAATAATTTGATGGTGTGTTCCTTACTGTGACATTCTCACCATTGATATAGGGCTTATAAAGCTAATTCAACAAGTTTTCTTATTCAGAAACTCCTATGGAGTCAGGTTAATAATTTCACTTATTTGTATTTAAAAATATAACAACACCAAAAATGGGATAAGCTGAATATAAGAAAAAATTATATGAAAAGCAGTAGTAGTCCTCAACCTCGTGAATGCATATCTTCAAAGTGTAAGCAAAACATGAACACAACTATATACACTTCACACAATTAATTTGAGCATCAATTTGATATATGAACCCCAAAAAGGGAATAGTGTTTTGATAATATCTTAAATTTTGATACTGAGCAATCCAAATATCATTATCCGAAAAGACTTCTACTTTTCCATAATATACACTACACACTACCCTCTGGAGGTTCAAGAACGCCTAAAAGATATGCATAAAGCAAAACAACAATGTCAAAGTAGCACACATACCCAGTAAGAATCAGTCCATTTTTGCTCCTTGTTAAGAATGCTATGAACACTATCTGCAAAACACAAATTCTGACACATCAGTCACCCTTGGCATATTGTTGAAGGAAACAATGATTACAAACAAAAAATTACAAACATTTACAAGGAAAAGCAAGACCCCAGTTGAATACTTTTCACACCCAGATCATCCATGAAGTAAAGATTGAATTTTTAAAAACAATACAATTCAGACATATATAGAGAGAGAGGGAGGGAGGGAAGGGTACAAGACGAATCAAGGAGTAGCATTCTAGACTTTGGGGTGTCCACTATGAGTATGTCATTGTAATTAGTTTTGATAGCTGTGAGCACTTCAAAGTTTTCCTCTTCATCAGTTTCTAGTTCTTGTTGTTGTTGTTGGGCAGCAACAGTAACAGAAAATGACAAGTGTGCTTTGAGGTTTCGTGTTGGGGTGAGAGAGTGTGTTGCAATTGCAGCAATGGGAAATGGGTAAAACTTGAACTTGCTCAAATGCGGAGGGGGCGCCAATTTGGTTAAAGGCAATGCACACCCTCTCATTGTGTTGTGTTGTTGGTTTGGTTCAGTGCCAATCCAAAGGGATAAGTCAACTGCAAAGTGCAAACTTCACCTACTGTTATCCAAATTCCAAATCACTTCCCTCATTTTGCATGCTTCTTATTTTTTCTTAAACTATACATTTACTATGGCTTCCATGATATTTTTAAATTCGTTAAACTAGTTTTTTTTTTTTTTATGAAGTTAAACTAGTTTAGATACTGAACTAAGGATAAATTCTTCAATTTTAATTCAACTATGGTTGAATCGAAATTAATAAAATAATAATAATAATAGTAATTAATAATACAAATATAATACTATAACTTTATAATACTAAAATTAAAATAAAATATTATTTTTAAATTAAAAATTTTAATATATACATAAAAGTCTAAACTAAATATAACAAAAGTTAACTTTTTTTATTATTTTATTTATTTTATTTTTTAATTTCTATAATTTAAAAAAAATTAAAAAGATTTAAAAAGTAAGTATAAGAACTAAAACGGTCTATTTTAAATTATAAGACTAAAAGATAAAGTAAGAAAATTATAAAAATTAAAAACTATTTTAACCTATAATAAATATTTAAATTCAAAATTTAATATAAAAAAATAACAATTTTTATTAATAATAACAAATCTCTTTCTGAAACACAAGTATCAAATTAATATAATATAAATTATAAAATTAAAAATTAATATAAATGATTACCTTATATTTATATAAAAAAGTATTAAAAATAATTTATT